TTTTATGACAATATAACATCTTTTTCATGAAAATATAACATCTTTTAATACATAATAATATAACATCTTTTAATATATGACAATATGACATCTTTTTTATGACAATATAACATCTTCTTGTAATATATAACATCTTTTAATATATAACTATATGACATCTTTTTTATGACAATATAACATCTCCTTTTAATATATAACATCTTTTAATATATAACAATATGACATCTTTTTTATGACAATATAACATCTTCTTTTAATATATAACATCTTTTAATATATAACAACATAACATCTTTTTTATAACAATATAACATCTTTTAATATATAACAATATAACATCTTTTTTATGACAATATAACATCTTTTTTATGACAATATAACATCTTCTTTTAATATATAACATCTTTTAATATATAACAACATAACATCTTTTTTATAACAATATAACATCTTTTAATATATAACAATATAACATCTTTTTATGACAATATAACATCTTTTTTTATGACAATATAACATCTTCTTTTAATATATAACATCTTTTAATATATAACAACATAACATCTTTTTATAACAATATAACATCTTTTAATATATAACAATATAACATCTTTTTTATGACAATATAACATCTTCTTTTTGAAAGTGTTTGGTTTCTTCTACTCTAACTGCGATGGTCCCACTGTACACAAACCCATTGAATGACCTCTCAAGGCCGACTGACTAACTCTATGGGAGAGCATCTGTTAATGTATGCATCGTAAATAATCTGGTTGGTTGCCAAGTTAAATTACCCCACGCAATCGTTTGACAAGATATTCATCCTGGTCGGGGATTTCTCGGATATACCGGGTGTTTATAAAATCCGTGTGTACTATTCATTTAAAACTTAATTTTACAAAATAAGCGCATTTTAAAATAACATCCTTTTAAATCGCGCAGTAATAAAGATACGAAAAGCCATAAAAAGGTCATTAACTAAGTAAGCTTCCGCGCATGACGACTAGAGGAAAACGTATGTAAACAACGCCAGTAATGGCGGCCGGACAACGCGAAAGATATCGAACTTACATTGACGATAAATCTCATTACCGGGGGCTGTTGGTGTTTATACTAGAAATTTACCAACGTTATTGTAGTGGATACATCGTATTTGAAATAGACGATCCTCCACACACACATATTATAATGAATAGTTCGTATTTGAATGTAAACTTTCTTGCCGCGACGTGACCGAACGGTGAAGCACACTGGAACAAAAAATGATTTTCTCAATGAAGAGGTGTCGCATGTTGGATCCCTGACGCAGAACAGATTTTCTTTGCTATGATATCTCGAATTTTAACATCACTTTTTATCTCGGTTCTGGAATTCATTTGAACAAACTCGTTAAGTAGCTTAGTCACCTATTTATTTTAACTTAAGTGTCCTGTGAGTGTTAAATTCTCTATGCCATCTTTTCTTATTATGTGAACCAGAAATTACAACTGTCTCTTTTTAGTTGTAAATATATTTCATTGTGATTTAGATTCTCGTTAATGTCCTTTTTTTTATGTACTCTATCCTCAGTATTCTTAAGACTCGTCGCTTCAAGTATCTTCGTCAGCTTTGAAGGGTGATTGTTGAGCATTTACTGTCATATAGGAGATTAGGAGATTACACTGTAATCAGCAGTCTTTTCTTTGTTTCTAGCGACACTTATATTAATTATCTCTTGAGACTTTGCTTATTTTATAGAAGTCATCTTTCATTATTATAAATCGCCCTCGGATTTAAAGTGTCTCATTCTGATTTTACAAGTTTAAGTTACTGTGTAGGACGAAACGAGTCAAATATTTTTACACTTTGTCATAGATTTTCATATATTTTATATATCGTCCTTACCCATATATATATCTATCTATCTATATCTATATCTATATCTATATATATATATATATATATATATATATATATATAGATATGTATAGATAGATAGATAGATAGATGAATAGATAGATAGATAGATAGAGATATTAGTTATATGGATATGAGTTTGTGACCCTGGATTTCACGCTTTTTGCGACATCAAACAAAGTTAGCTCTATCACTGATATTGAGCACTTTCCACTAACTACTACGCATATAAATTATATATATATATATATATATATATATATATATATATATATATATATATATATATATATATATATTACAATGAATCATTCATACAAAAAGTAAATTAGTAAAGTTAATGATATATAAAAAAATTGTTAGCGAAGAGATTTCGCCATTTTATATCATTAACTTTACCAATTTATTTTTTATGAATGATTCATCGTAATATATATATATATATATATATATATATATATATATATATGCGCAGTACTTTAGTGGAAAACGCTCAATATCAGTGATAAACTAACATATTCAGTTGTAAAAAGTGAACAGGTTAAAATCGTTTTGTGTCAGCACCGCTGTCTTCCCAAATAAGCAATGGTGAGAGGAAAAAAATCATTCAGGCCTTCAGTAATGTTACCAATATTCAGTAATGATACCAATATTCAGTAATGATACCAATATTCAGTAATGGTACCAATATTCCTACTTTGGCTTCCATCTTCAAAGACCATTAAAGGACCATCAAGAGAATGGTGAATAAGTTTTAAAAAATATGGAACGGTAGAATGGAAAACTGGATCGTGGGGTCACTACAGAAAAAGAGGGATCATCATTTCAACTTAGAGCTAAAGAGATCTAATTAGAAAAGATCCAACTCAATTCACAATACATTTGGCACGTGAGAAAGGAGTTTCACCTATGAGAGTAAAAGAGCAGTAAAAAAAAAATAAAATTAAAAAAACTTGAAAATGAAATCGTTCGTGAAACTTGTGAGGTGCTTTCAGGACAGAAGCTTAGAAGGTTAAGGAGTGAAGATCCATGTGAAAAAGTTGGAAAATGATCCTGAAATATATATATATATATATATATATATATATATATATATATATATATATATATATATATAATTATTTAAAAATATGATTCAAATCGCTACATAAGAGGTCTCATGCTTCAAAACTAGAGCCGAAAACTTCAATATAATCCTTTAAATTAAATTGAGTTGAAAGTAAAATGGGCTCATTCCATCCTCAAGCGAAATTTTGTTGGATTCAACAAAATTTGAAGCATGACCCTTATGAAGGATTTGGAATCATATTTTTAAATAACACTATATTTATGCTCTACTTTTGTATCGAGCACTATTTTTAAAAAAAATAATAACTAAAATACTAAGGGACTTTGGATTATTTACCTAACCAGTTCCTTCCTATTTCTATATTTTCACACACATATATATATATATATATATATATATATATATATATATATATATATATATATATATATAAGAACATTATATCAAGCTTTCGATCCTTAACTATGATTACTTAATGATGAACATGTCATTTTTCGCTTATGATTGATTTCATGACGATTCTTCTGTTAAACTTGGAGAGTCATTATACATTCTTATCGTTCAAAGTTGAATACAATAAAGTCATAAAAACCTTGGATTCCAGTAAGATATCTTTAATCATTTCCGAGATAAAACGCTTCAGAACTGAATCTAATAATTGAACATTTTGCTGTTACACGATTTGGACAATTTTGCTGTTTACATCCGGTATATATATATATATATATATATATATATATATATATATATATATACAAACGCAAGGTGATGCTAATTGTTGGTGAAGCTCATTACCTCAAAGAAAATACGACAAAAACGTTTCAAATCAACATAGGTTTCGTACAGGCGTAATCAGATACATTCCCATTTAGTAATGCTCTGCCTTGAATAGCTCTTGGGCCTTATATTCGGTTAGCAGTAGTGATCTTCTTTTTTTTAATCATGTCGATTACCCTTCCTATGAAGATTTCTGTCTGACCCGGAGATTGAGCTTAATTCTTTTATGTGTCGTATCCCTTCAGGACCTTGGTGATCATGGCCCTCCACACCTTCATTTTTATTGTATCTACTTTCCTAACCATATTTATCAACAAAAATGCGGAAGATTCGCCAGTGTATACATTTGTATATTTACGCGTGTTTGCGTATGAATTATGTATGTGTCTGTGTTTGAGAGGTGGGAGAGAGAGAGAGAGAGTTCTTATAACAGGAGTTGTTTACCGGACAAGGGTCGGTCAGACAATTAGGAACTAGTTTGAAACTACAGAGGGTGACAAAAATGGAAGTAGGATTTGGAGCATTGTCCGTGGGATCAGGTAGAGTTCTCATAACACTGGTGTAGCATGTGCGGGATGGGGTGGGAGTGGCGGCAGGTCACCCGATTTGACTAATTAAGTATAGGATATGATAAAGTGGTGTCAACTGGTCTTTAATTGTCAGCACGATGGGATAAAAGATTTTATTTTGTTTTATCCGTACGAAAAGAATTAACACGTGAAAATAAACATCTTCATCAGTTTCCGCTTTAGAGATAGTGATTTTCCAAGCATAGCTCAGATGTGGCACAAGGCCGAAAGTATGGGGCACCCAATGAGGATCGAACTCACTACTCAGTTGTAATTATTCCAGTGAGACAAGCTTGCTAACCATTACGCCACCCCGAAGTGCCCAGTTTCTGTTTTAGAGATAAGTGAGTGTGCGCGTTTATGTGCGTGAATATATACATGCGATTTTGTGTGTGTATGTATGTTTGTGACAATATGTACATGCAAATTTCTGTGTGTATGTGAGAATATATCGACGCGAATTTGTGTGTGTGTGTGTGTGTGTGTGTGTGTGTGTGTGTGCAAGAAAATATGCATGAGAATTTGTGTGTGAGTGTATATGTTTGTGATAATATGTGCATGCGAATTTGTGTGTGTATGCGTGTAAGAATGTGTTCATGCGGATTTGTGTTAATGTGTGTATGTTCGTGAGTATATTCATACGAATTTGTGTGTGGGTATGTGTGCGAAAATACGTGGATGCGAACTTGTGTGTGTATGTACAAGAATTATATACATGCGAATTTGTGTGTGTGTGCGTGTGAGAATATGTGTATGCGAGTTTGTGTTAGTGTGTGTATGTGCGTGAATATATTCATGAGAATCTTTATGTGTGTGAGAATATGTACATGCTAATTTGTGTGTGTATGTGCGTGAATATATGGATGCGAATTTGCGTGTGTGATTATGTGTATGAGAATATGTGCATTCGAATCTGTGTGCGTGTATGTGCGTGAATATATGCATGCGAATTTGTGTACGTGTATGATAATATGTGCAAGTGAATGAGTGTTTGAATATCTATATATATGTGTGAGTGTAAGTATGTGAATGTGTGCGTGTGAATATGTGTTTGTGTGTATGAATACGTGCATATGTGTGTGTATGTTTCTGTGTGTAAATATGTGCATGCGTTAGTTTGTATGTGTGCGACCATTTGTAACTTCCTTTATTATCTGTATGTGTGTGTATGCATAATAACCTGTGAGTGTGAGTGTTTATACGTGATGTTGCGGGTTAGTACGTCTATGTGCGTATTGTGTGTGCGTGTGTGTGTGTATGCGTATAGGTCTGTTTGTATGAAGATGTGCGTGTGTGCGCTTGTGTGCATGCGTGTGATCATTTTGTATGTGAGTACGTGACAGAATATATGCTTTTGAATATGTAAGAATTAAATATTACAGGTTGAGGACACCAGAATTTTAGAAATACCAAAGTGAGTCATGTCCCCAAATAGGTTGGGAACCATTATCCTTGATATAAACAGCGAAATGAGAACAGTCTACCTTTGTAAATTAAATAAAGTGTTCTGTTCGAAATTCCCTGAAAGTAACACGGATTTACAGACTCCAGATGAAGGCCGGATACCACAACGGCCGAAACAAAGATGAGGATACTAGATTAGAATATCGAATGTAAATAATGAAAATAATAACAACTTCTCATCCTAGAAAGAAATTTAAAGTCTTTCCTTTGAACGATAAATTTGGTGGTTTGGTTTGGTTTGTTTTATGGCATATAAACACCTCAATGGGTTATTTAATGCCAGCAAAATTTTAAGGATAGATTTGTATGAATAAAATATGTAATCACTGATGGCAATTTTTAAAAAAATGTATTCCTGGTGTTTTTGCTATAAAAGTCTATTTTTATACTTTCATAGTGTTTTGACCCCAGTTTGGCGGTTAACTATTTGCCCATAGCTGGGACCCTGACAGGTGCTACCACCCCAGGTCAGGGTGGACCTGGGAACGCCAGCAATTAACAGATGGTTCAACAATGTGCGTATGTATGTATGTATATAGGTTTGCGAATATGTATGTGTGAGTGTGCGCGCTTGTGGTCATATGCGCTTTTGTATGTGAGTATGTAAGAGAATATGTGAGTGTCTGTGTGTGAATTCGTGTATGATTACGTGTGTGTGTACTTAAATGTGCGTTTGTGTACATACGCTTGGCCGATCATGTCACCTTTGATTCTTGACTAAGCAGAAAAAATCCCGTTTCTCTCTACCTAGGATATTCAACCTGCTATTTAACCCGTAGCAGGGGGAGAAGAGATGGATTCATAATTTTCTCAATGGTATTTGAGTATAAGTGAATGTAGCGAACTCGACTGGCATTCGAACTCGGATCGCCGATTTCTCATTCCGGGCCGCTATCTACAGCACTACACCAAGTTTAATATGTGTTCAGTTGACCTATTGTTTTATTTTTGAATTGTTGAATAAACAACTAGATTAAAAAAAAAAACACACGTTTATTTAACGTGTGTTGTTTCGACATCAATAATAGCAATTTTTCCAAGCGTAACTTAAATATTGTACAAGGCCGAAAGCATGGGGTACCCAATGAGGATCGAACACACTACTCAGTCGTAATTGATCTAGGGAGACAAGCTTGCTAACCATTACACCGCCTCGAGGTGCTCTAGTGATTTTCCAAGAATAGCTTAGACGTGGCACAAGGTCGAAAGTAGCGGGCACCTAGTGAGGATCGAACTCACTATTCTGTTGTAAGCGTTCTAGCGAGACGAGCTTGCTAACCATTTCCCCGCCTCGAGGTGTCCACTGACAGTAATAATAAAAGTACATACAATGGCGAAAGTGTTTACTCTCTTCAGTGAGTCATAGTCTCTCTTTCTGATTAGTTCTCATTCTTTCTCTCTCCCCCTCTCTCATTTGCAATCTCTTATTCCCTTCAACTAAGGCTTTATTGTTCTTACGATCAACTGCTATTGACCATGAACAAATCTATCCATCTGTTAATTTCAGTAAAACTTATCTTGTCAAAATCCTGCTAAGAGACTCTTGACATCGGCCATTTTTTTTTTTTTTGTCTTTTATTTATTTATTTTGTTTATTGTTGCCGGTAGGGTAGTGGTTCTTATAAGAGCCTTTTTTTATTTGGCCGTCTGAAATCAACGTGTAGGACTGGCACTAGTTTGGAGGAGTCGTGACAATATCCTGTTGTACCAATCGACTTGTGCCACCGTTGCTGTTCAGATGAATCAGAAACGGTTGTAGTTGTTTAGAAGGGCGACTGGTGTTCTAATAATCAACTCCAGACCCTTCCTTATACCCAGATCGGCCCGAAGCCGTTTTAAAGACCCCCTTCTGTCTGTCGCTTAATGTCACACGCGCCTTTTAGGGTCAATACCTGCCTTCAATGTCATTATTCAGGGTGGTAACGTGGTGTCGACATTGTCAATGATTGATTGATCCAAAAATGAACTTTATGAAGTACGCATGTTCCCATTATTATTATTATTATTATTATTATTATTATTATTATTATTGATCCTGTGCTTGACACGCTGGACTTCTTCACAAAATATGGTTAGCGTGGACATTATCTAAAACACCAAAACTCTAACCTTATTCCATCTTAATTACAATTACATTATCACCACCACAACCAGAAACCACCCTCATCCTTGTTTTCCGTTACATCCTTTTCCTCTCCCCCTCATCATCATCATCATCATCAGCGGCAGCAGCAGCATCATTACAAGAAGAAGTAGAAGAAGAAGGAACGTGTGGTCAAACATAGCGGCCCCCAACCATCAGGCCGGGCACAGATACCGGGCCGCGGACCATTTAGTACCGGGCCGCGGATCATTTGGTACCGGGCCGCGGACCATTTGATACCGGGTCGTGCACCATTTGATACCGGGCCGCGGATCATTTGGTACCGGGCCGCGGACCATTTGGTACCGGGCCGCGGATCATTTAATTACCGGGCCGCGGACCATTTGGTACCGGGCCGCGGATCATTTGGTACCGGGCCGCGGACCATTTGGTACCGAGCCGCGGATCATTTGGTACCGGGCCGCGGATCATTTGGTACCGGGCCGCGGACCATTTGATACCGGGTCGTGCACCATTTGATACCGGGCCGCGGATCATTTGGTACCGGCCGCGGACCATTGGTACCGAGCCGCGGATCATTTGGTACCGGGCCGCGGATCATTTTGGTACCGGGCCGCGGACCATTTGATACCGGGCCGTGGGCCATTTGATACCAGGCCGTGGGCCATTTGGTATCGGGTCGCGGACTATTTGGTATCAGACTGTGCATTATTTGGTACTGGGCTGCAAATAAAGAATAAAAAGGTTTCTTTTTTTGTTCTTCATTTTATTGACTATCACGGTTTCGTTCATTGTGTTTTGTTAAGCACGTAAAAAACAGTGACGCACATGACACCCGTCCGTGGCGAATAAAAAAAAGTTTAGTACCGCTGGTCTAAATGGTTTTAACTGCTTGAATTAGAGAATCAATAAACCGGCGTAAAACTCATGGGTTATTCTAAGCGAGTCTGTTTAATACCCGGCTTATAAATTAGGCTTAGCCAGTTTATATCCCCGGATAGAAAATGAGGTAGAATACACCCCCTCCTTTTCACATGTAATAAGATCTAGATCAATATTAAGATTATTTAGCACCAGACAAGAATACGGAGTGGAATAGCAAGACATGCCTTCCAAAAGCTAAGGAATTGGCTACCAGTAATCCATTCAACAAATCAATCAGAATATTTTCCAATCAAAACCAGGGCTATAGTCACAACAGGAACTACTAATGCCTTTATAGTGGACTATTGCGTTTTGATCGCGAGAAAAGAGATGAAAAAACCCTACTTGGTTTCAGTGTAAAAATGAAAGAAAGAAGATAAAACTGTTTAACGTTGGCTCAGAAATAATGGGCTATTCTGTTTTGATAAATAAAACACACATCGGAGTCGGTACTTACGTAGGTTCAGTGAGAAAAGAAAGAAAGAAGTTGTTAACGTCTGTTTCAGTGAAATGGAAAAAAACTTGTCAATTTGAAATCTTTTCATTTGTACCCACTTCTTAAAATAATAAGCATTCATATTTATGATTGTTATTGCAATATTTTGTTAAAGTTGTTAAGCTCAAAAGTTTAACGACACGATAGGGGAATTTCTACGGACATTTTATTGTGGAACTCGCCATAATCTTACTCAATCATTAACTTAAGAATTATGATTCATCAGAATATTAAAATAGGAAAACCGTGAAATTTTCAGACGTCTTTCTAGCAATTATTATTATTATTATTATTATTATTATTATTATTATTATTATTATTATATTTCCTTTGATTTCTGGTGTGTACGTATTTTTGTCCGGGTCCCACCCAGAGATCTAAGGACAGAAATGACATCATGGCATTTTCCACTGACCAATTAAAGAAAAAAAAACACAACCCACATATTTTACATAGATAAAGCCCTTCGTAAGGTTCGGGCTGTAGTCGTGAGAACATTTTTTTTATTTCTTTAAGGCATGGGCTTCCAGGAATCCATTCAGTGAATCTACTTTCCAACCAATCCGAGGGCTCCAACTACAACAGGGATTCTTGTTGTTCCCATGTGCCGCAATTTTGAGATTTTGGTTTCTTATTATTATTATTAACAAAATTATTATTATTATTATTATTATTATTCGTGCTACTCAAGTCAAAATCACATGCCCGTTGTATTGTTCAAACGCCGTTTAATCTTATTTATGAATGGAAGTGCGGTAACCATACAACAAACCCAAAATTTTATTGCCATATTTTTACCAAACAATCGATAACACGTTCCGATTCGGTCGTAATCAAATCGAATAAAGCAGACGATAAAACATAAAAAATACAAACACCGTCCGTCAGTAAAATATAGTGTAAGTATGATGTTCAGGATATCGTATCTATCAAGTGGGTGTCTGAGCTGGAGTAGTAGTTGGGTAGAATTATAAAACCGAAAAGATATGAGATTATTGAGATTTTATGACCAGTAAAACGGTGGCATATAGTCTTTTTTTTTTTACTATTTAGGACTTCCTCATGAAGACTGATGAAACCCACTTGGAATATTTCGTAACATCCTGATAACATTTAGAAAAAAAATCATGTTTCAGTTTCTTTAAGCAGAGAGATTCATCGTGTAAAGATGTGTATCTGAACCAGGTGTCCATAAAATGGTCGATATCGAATACTGTGGTTCGACGCGCCTATCCATTGCCAATAAAGATACAAAGAAAAGCGTTCTGGGAGGATGGAATTATGAAGTTTTCTGACAGATGGCAGAATATGGTAGAACAAAACCAAAAATATGTTGTTCAGTAAAGTTAATATCGCATATTTAAAACATATTTTAACTCAATATTACATTTATATGTAAAGCACACGTAAAAGAACAAAATAAAGTGAAAAAAAACGATGTTTGTTTAACCATTTCACTCTAAGCAAGGCAATAAAGCCACTAAGACTCAAATGGGTTACTGAGTGTGAGAGAATAAGAAAAAAACATTATTAAGAGAAAAATGAAGCACAGACACTGCGAAGACAATAGATAATAAATGACATAGCATTTCAATTTTTGAAGATCAAATATGACTGAAAAGCAAGAGGCCAGACGAGAGTTCCTCGAGTGAAAATTGTGGAAGAAGAAAATGTTATCTTAAAAATTAAGGTAACATCTAGCTATTTAAACTATACATGATTAGACCTAACTGCCAATCTAGTACTTGAATTCGTAAAGTCGGAGTGCCAAAGAGGAAAGTAATAGTTATTTCGATTTCATACAAAAATAGTTTGCTTTGGTTTGTTTTACAGCATATCAACGTCAGTGGGTTATTTAATGTCAGTGGGTTATTTAATGTCGACAAAATTTGATTGCTGATAATGTTATTTCTTCAAAAATGTATTTCTGGTAATATTTTCTTTTCCCAAAAATGTATTTCTGGTAATATTTTCTTTTCCCAAAAATATATTTCTGGTAATATTTTCTTTTCCCAAAAATGTATTTCTGGTAATATTTTCTTTTCCCAAAAATATATTTCTGGTAATATTTTCTTTTCCCAAAAATGTATTTCTGGTAATATTTTCTTTTCCCAAAAATATATTTCTGGTAATATTTTCTTTTCCCAAAAATGTATTTCTGGTAATATTTTCTTTTCCCAAAAATATATTTCTGGTAATATTTTCTTTTCCCAAAAATGTATTTCTGGTAATATTTTTTTTCTGCAGAAAATCTATTGCTGGTAATAATTTTTTTTGCAAAAAGGTATTTCTGTTATTAAAATTTATTTTTACACTATAATAGTTTTTTTTTTTTTTTATCCCAGTTTGGGAGTTAAATATTTGCCCATAGCTGGGACCCTAACAGGTGCTACCACTCCGAGTTAGGGTGGGCCTTAGAACAACAGCATTTAAGAAGTGGTTCCACGCTTCTCAAAACCTTCCGATCAGTTGCCTTGCTGCCGGATGTAGTTTATCGTCATACCCAGGACGGATACAAAATGTGACACAAGGCCAAAAGGGGAGGGGATAGGGGAAGACTGGTCTTCAATCTGTCATATCTTACACTTAGCTAGCCACGATTACTGACCCAAATATACCACAGTATGCCTTACACTAAAACAGCACATTCTTTCTTACCAATTTTTACTACAGCCACCATAATACCTAAGAGTCTCTATGTACCAAAGAGGAAAGCTAACCAGAACAATAACCATGAAAATATTTATAGAAAAATCACAGGGAAGCAACATTACGGCGATGGGGAAAATGACTGAAGCCGAGATGCAAGGTCAGGACCGATAGCATTGCAGTTTCTTCAATAAAGTTAGTAGAAAAATAATTTAACCAATTAAAGAACTAGAAGTGGGACGGTAAGCGATAATAAATTATAGGTCGACACTTTTGACAAACTATAATTAATGCCGGATTTTTTAGACATCTATAATTAATAACATATTTTTACATTATTATTAATAGCGATTTTTATTTATAAATCATTATTTAAAAGCGGTTTTTATATACCTATAATTAAATCTGGATTTGTTTTGTTTTGTTTCGTTTTTCTTTTTTAAAAACCTATCATTAATACCTAATTTTTTAAAAACCTATAATTAATACCGAATTTTAAAAAAATATATAAATAATACCCAATGTTTTTTATAAATCATTAATTAATATCGAATTTATTTTTTTATAAACCTGTAATTAATGACGGATTTTTATAAACCTCTATGTACAACAGTGAATCAGTTATGTGTCATGCGTGATACACGCTTAGGCGATCATGTATCTTTCGATACATGACTGACGAAGCAGATTTTCCCCCCGCAGTAGGCTGCCATTTCTTTCTGTCATAGACCCATTTTTGAAGAACAAAGTTGGTTGGAAAGCAATAACAAGAAAAGCGAAACGTGTGAGAGAAGAAACTGCTATCATAGAACTTACGGTTGCATCTAACCATTACAAATGTAAAATGATGAGATCTGGCTGCCAATCTAGTACTGCACTTAAATTCATAGTCTAGGTACCATAGAGCAAAGCTCATCTAAACACTTACAATGAAAATACTTGTAGAAAAGGCACGGGAAAACTACATTTCCATAGTGGGAAAATGACTGAATCCGAGATGACAGGTCAGAACCAATAACATTGCAGATTCTTTGGATTTTGTCAAGAATCTCTAAATATATAACAGAAGCATCAGACATTATATGGCAACAATATTCTAACCATTGACAAATGGCAGCCTTATAAATATCTAAGATTCTGGAGGAAAAAACTAGCATGAGACAGATTTATTTTTATTTATTTGTATTTATTATTATTTATTGTTCATTATCTTTATTTTTTCATATTCTTATTTATTCATTCGTGCTTATTATTCATTAACATTATTTCATTATCATGAAACCTGTGTTTATTGGTGATATATTGTTTAAAATAATCTATCTTCTATCTATATATATATAAAACTGACTATGTGTGTGTGTATGTGTGTGTGTGTGTTCGCGAACTACTCGAGAACCATAAGGCATATTTCCACCAAAATTCGAACAT